TAAAATATTTGTTTTATCTATTTACTTGTCCGCATATTCAAAAACAGTCACCGTAAACCCTAAACCCCAAACCCTAAACCCTAAGCCCTCAAACCCTAAACCCCAAACCCCTAAACCCCTAAACCCTAAACCCTAAACCCCAAACCCTAAACCCAAAGCCCTCAAACCCTAAACCCCAAACCCCTAAACCCTAAACCCTCCACCTTAACCTTTTGAGTCTTTAAGGGTCGAAGCAGATCCTGGCTCTCCGAAGATGCAGAATCATCGGACTGATCCCTCTGAGCCCGTGCCAAAACGACTGCAGTCGTTTTAAGATTTAGCGTTTTAGGTTTCGGGTTTAGGCTTCGGGTTTAGGGTTAAGGGTTTAGGGATCTTCGGGTTTAGGTTTCGGGCTTATAGGGTTTAGGGTTAAGGGTTTAGGGATCTGGCCTTTTAGGTTTTGGGTTTAGGTTTAGGGTCTCGGGTTCTGCTTTCGTTTAGGGTGTTAGGTTTAGGTAAAAGGTGCCTAGGGTTTGATTTGGAGGATCGGCGATCTTTCTGTGCTGGGGGCTTGTGACTCGGAGTTGAGGCTGTTGAGCTCCAGCATCTGCTGGGGAAGGGGCTTCAGGACTGACTTCTCTAAGACGCCGGGCCAATCCCTGGGCTTATTATACTTCAAAGTAGGTACTACTCCTATACTTGGAGTCTTGGAGTCATGGGATTTGCCTAGTAGTAGGGTAGGTAACCTTTAACCTTTTTGGGGTAGTACAATCCCTATATAACCCCAAAGGTTAACCTTTAGTTCCCCATGATTCCCGACAAGTAAGCGATAGTTCAGCCCCCTGGTTCGCATTTTTCAATTCCGCACCTGGGATGTCTGATTCGCGAGCTCCCTACCATGATCCCGAACAGAAGACCAGGACCCTCCTTTACCCTCAAATAGGGGTCTATGGTCCCAAATAAGGTCTATATAGTCCCAAATTAAGGGGTACTTAGGGTCTATATAGTCATAGAGTCCCAAATAAGGGGTACTTAGGTTCTACTGGAGGGTCGACGGAGGGTCTAGGCAAGTGTGCTGAATTCAGTGCCTTGAAGGCCGCACTCGGAATTTCAGAGCCTTCATCAGGGATGCCCATTGATCCGTTCTTCTATTACGGTCTCTTCAACTGTAGAGTAGAGGGTTAGAAACCCTCGATCCCCAACCCCGTTGATCCCAGATCGTGTGATTTTTGCAGGTTCAAGCTATGTGAAAGCCCTTCGTGGCGGGGGCAAGGCCCGCTTGTGCCGTCGCAATGGCACCGGGCATCGGCCTCCTTCTAGTCTACCACGTGCTGGCCGCTCGGAGGAAGGTTTAGCATCGGGGTCTGAACCATCCGCTTCTACTCCTCGAGCGATTCACTACAAAGTCCCCCACCAGCATGTTGCACCGGCTAGGCAGCGGCTGCCAATATGTAGCCGAAATATTGGCAGCGGCTGCCAATGTTTAGCCGAAATATTGGCAGCGGCTGCCAATGTTTAGCCGAATTATTGGCAGCCGCTGCCAATATTTAGCCAAAATATTCCTCTATTTTCCGGCTCTCAGGTGTCGAATATGTTGATGTACAGTCCAAGCCCACCCTACACCCTGCATTATCCTAGACTGCGAACGCCCCGATAACAAGAACGACCTAAACCCTCGAAATCTTGACCCTAAACCCCCCAACAAGAGACCAGAATGAAGGCAGTTTTCGCTCAGCCTATCCTGGCGGAGCCTTGGGTTGTGCCACAAGCTCCTCGCCTGCGAATGGGCCTGGCTGCCTTGCGGCTGCGGCTTTCAATGCTTGCATGCATGTATGTACGTTTGTAAGCAAGTATGCGTACATCTATGTACATAACAACATACGTATTACATATGTACCTGAAGCATCACGGCGTCCTGACATTATTTGAAAAATGTTTGAGGTAGCCCTTACAGCATCCTTTGCAGTAGCAATGCTTTTCGTTACCCCGAAAGGAAGCCGTATAGTAGACCGTGAAGGAGCAACGAAAACCACCAACATTCTCATACGGGGCACTGGGTTTCCGACTTCCATGGCCAGCCCCATTGCGTGTGGGGTGTAGGGTTGAGGCTTGTCTCCGGATTGTGCACCTCCTTTCAGTTATCGACGTCATGGTCATGTATACAGATTGAACCCTCAAATCCCAAGCCGAAGAAAGCGTGTACGCAACCGTAAAACCGAAGGCACAGGCCCTTTCAGCGGTCAGGTAATCAAAAGACGCGGAGGAACAAGTTCAGTACCAGACGAAGATCCATGTTGATCTGTCTTGGAACAGGGATATGTAGGCCCTAAATTGCGTGTACTCACAAACGTTGCGTCGACTTCCTTAACCAGAAAACTTACATGAATAGCGCCTGAACAGTTGCCAAGATGATGCGTGAGGTTCTTCAGTATAGTTCTCCAAAGCCCGAATACTGCACTACAAGCCCTCGAGACCCATCCTTCCGCAGGTGCCGTCAGAGCCGTCGGGCTACCAAGAGCAAGTCCCGAAGTCGCTTCCTCCGGCTGAAAATGCTGCAGCTTGAGCTCAATTCCCTGGGGTTTTTGAAGGGGTTTGAGGGTTTCCTTTGGGCTTGGGCTTTCGTCGTGGGCTTTCCCGAGGGTTTTTGTTGGGCTCCTAGTAGCGTTGCATGATGCATTCCTGCCTTTTTTGTGAATCTATCCTTCTCGTTTGTGCCTCAGTCTCGTTTACAGGTTTGGGTGTCGTGGAGTGTCGATTGTCAGAAAGCACAAGGCGCTACACAACCCCAGAAAGTGCGGAGATTCGATTACGCATTTTGAGGCTTCTAGGTGTCTTTGCTGCCTTCTTTTGCGGCAGATTTTGCTCCGCAGGTGTCGAAGTGGACGTATAGCTTTGACAACAGGGGCTCAGAGAAATGAGTTTTCTTATCGCAGTACCAAGTCTGATTTGTGCTGTGGCAAAAGACTGCAATTTTCCTGCCGCCTACTAGCACTGGGCAACACCAGCACGTGAAAGGGCAGCTCAGCTTAGGATGCATTTACCAGACAACGGCCGAAAGCCTAGGCCCAAAATAGACCCTAATATACCCTAAACCATCAGACCCTATACTGTATACCCTAAGCCCTAAACCCCTAAACAGCCAAAGCAAAACGCCCTAAGACCCCAAACCCTAGATTGAAACCCTAAACCGCCTTGGAGGCATGGGGGCCTTCGGAAGAGCAGCGATGGCGGCAGCAGCAAACCGCCCTACAGTCGAGCCGGCGATCGCTCTCCGAACTTCAGCAGGCTACGGATGGTGGGGGTTACGTTTTAGGGTTTAGGGTTTACTTTTTAAGGTTTAGGGTTAGGGGGACCATTGGCAACAGCGAATCTGTTTCAGAACCTAGGTCTTGATTTCGAGATATCCCAACACGCGACATGTATCCCAATTTCCTCAGTTCCTAAGCACGAAAGTCAAAGGCCTTCTTGCTCGTGTATGAAATGCATTTGATAAATGTCGCGGTGTCCCTTGTCGTGCGGCCACGACAAATCGCGCTGCTCAGCTTTCATACAGGTTCATGCTCGTACCAGCAGAGACAAGCAAATGTGGTCAGACTTGCTCGGGCTGCTCCGTAACGTTTGTTTGCCTTATACAACACACGTGCACAACACAATCCAAGCAATAATTACTGCGGCGTATATATCCAAAGCTAGAATTACCCACGCAACTCTTCAGGGCTCCTTTATTTGTATAGGTATACTACAGTCTATATAGTATACTCCCCCCGAATCCCAACTATGACCATCCAGGCCCCGTCGGTTGCCTCATAAAGCCCTCGTGACTCTTCATAAAGCCGGTAGAGAACCCTCCCTAGACCCTATAGATCCCCTAAATCCTAAAGCCTAAACACTAAACCCTAAATCCTACACCCTAAACCCTACACCCTAAACCCTAAACTCTTCTAAACCTAAAGGGCCCCTGCAACTGTAATGCTGGGAACCTGCAACCCTAAATCTCCTCCTAAACTCGGAACCCTAAACTCTAACCCCCCCGGAAACAAAACGAACGAAATCCGAAGCCCTAAACCCCCCCAAAAGAAGCAACACCCTGAAACTTAAAATCAGCCCAGGACTCGAATCCCTGAATCCTTATAGCCCTTGCTCTACTGCTCAGCGGGTGGTTTTGGCGTGTTTTCGGTTGTTTTGTTTCAAGCTTCTAGGTTTTTTTGTGCAGGCGAAGGGGGGAGGGTTATGGTTTGTCGTGTTTAGGGTACTCGCAAAAGGGGGTTTTGTGGCTTTTCCGGCTTCAGATAGGTAATGCATGGGAGGTTCTTGGCGCGCCAGCGCCGCAGGTGACTTTGCCGAATGTTGCCAGGGTTCTACCCATAGGCCCCATAGTAGTTCCTTTTTGGGATTACTTTATAGGATTCTAAATATGAACCCCAAAAAGGAACTACTATATGGGCCCTATGGAAAGTTGGGGTGCCAGTCTTTTCGCGGGGACCACCTGGTTGGCTCCTAGAGGTCCCTTGTCACGTTTCAGGATGCCACCATATTCTGGGGCTGTACCGGTTTCGTTGGAAACTGTATTAGGGTAGTTGTCAAAAATACGGTCCCTTTTGGGGTACCCTGAATAATAGGGGCCGTATTATAATAAGGACCCCAAAAAGGGATCTACCATCATGCCATCATGCCGCAATACCTAGTCGGCACTGCGCGAAGTCTGCCCTCTGCAGATTCGCAACTGACACCAGTGCTTCTGAATTTGGGCGCTGACAGCACAGCGAAAGAAGGGTCTATAGGGGTTCGTGGTTTAGGGCCCTAAACCCTAAACCCTAAACCCTAGGATTAGTGGCTGGAGGTGGTGGGTTGCGGACAAGACGGCCTTAAACGTTCTGCATCCGTAAAGCTTCGAGCCAAGCCCTGTCTGTTATTATATAGCATATGATACTATATTTTGTTATATTCATATTTTTGCTATTGTCAACTTTATTGCTATTGCTGTTAGTACTTTTCTGACCGCTGTTATTACTGTTCTGACCATTGAGATAGCTATGTTTGTTATGACTGTTGTTGTTATCATTATGATTAAGCAGATTTGTCCTTGCAAAGCCCTTTCGGAACCTATGAAGCCCCATAGACAACCTAGAAGCCAGTCTCGAAAGCGTTCTAATCGCACGAGAAGTCTCAGAGCCAAATACCTCTTTCTCTGGAATGATGCTTCAAATATGCTGCACTGAATGTTTCTTGATTTAAAGGTATCGGGCTCTGTCTGAAACCCCGTCAAGCCCTTGTAGCAAGTCTGACTTCTTGTGGCCAAACCCTCTAAAAAGCCTTGTAGGCCTTATGGTGCCCCTATCCATCCCCCACAAAATCTGACAGATACCCTGTATCACTCTCTGCGACCCCTAAACCCTAAACCCTAAACCCTCGCTTTAGGACCCCTCAGCGGTCCGCGCGCTGTCGATCGTCCACAGCCTGGCTGCACAGCAGCGGTTTCGGCAGGCCAAGGCCAGGTCGCTACTTACTTGTAGTCTCCATTGTAGTTCCTTTTTTTGGTTTAACCAATTTAATAATAAGGATTTTATAAGGTACCCCCAAGAAGGAACTACAATGGAGACTATAGGTACTGTTCTGTAGCAGAGAAGTCATGCCTTTTTTCGGGTTCACAGGTACAGTAGGGTTAAGGGTTGAGGGGTTCCTGATTTTTTTCTGGTTGTTTTTGTCTGAATATCTTGTTGTTGGCCTGTAAGGCACAGGGGCTCCGGAAGTCAAGCGATTGTTTACGTTCTTTTTGCTGCAGATGTTTGTAGGGTTGTTGTACAGGTTCCACAAGAGTTCTATGGTACTTCTCATATGAGTGTTCGGCGTCCCTGATTTGTGGGTCTTCGGGAGCCTCCCTGATGCGGCCCGTATACAGATTTTGATGGAATAGATTCCCAAAGCCCTGTTCAATGGCACGCTCTGAAGCCCTGGTTTCTCGGAGTGTGCTTCATAAGTGGAACCCTGTGCGACAAGTTGGTTCGCTTCTCTTGGCTTGCTTTGTTGTCCTTCAAACAGTAATCACAAAGTAATAACGAGAATCATAACAACAATAGCTGTTTGATTCTGGATCTTTTCTCTAGCTTTTCCGCTCCCAGTTTTCGGGCATAAAGTATGTCAGAGGGATGGGGCCATGGTCCAGGCCCTAGATAGGCGTTTTGGGTTGTCGTGTTGTTCATAGATTTTCTTAGAGCATCGGGACTCAACACTTGCGGTTGCTGTGACTAGGACTTAACACCCCAATTAGACTACACCCCTAAACCCTGAGCCCTAAACCCTAATCCCTAAACCCTAAACCCTAAACCCTAAACCCGAAACCCTGAGCCCTAAACCCTAATCCCTAAACCCTAAACTCTAGACCGTGCTAAGCCCAAGGATCCTTCCAGCGGGTTTTCGGCTTGAGAGCCTTTGCGATTCTTCGTGCATAGGGTTTAGGGTTTAGGGGTTTAGGGTTTATGGGGTTTAGGGTTTATGGGGTTTAGGCTTGAAGTTGGGGATCCCTTTCTTTAGGGTTGTTGTTTGTTTAGGATTATCAATCTTTATGGTTTAGGGTTATCAGCTTTAGGGTTTAGGTTGTTTGTTTAGGATTATCGAGTTTAGGGTTTATGGGTTATCAGCTTCAAGTTTTAGGGCTTTGCGGGTCTCCTCCCGGTTGCGTGGGCTCTGGTACAAGGTGAAAGGGCCGATGTTTCGGGCTAATCGTCAACCCCCGAATCCCCAAACTACTCAGCAGATCCAAGGAAGCCTCAGCACCTCATGAATAAGATATATGGGAGTTTCCGAAAATAGGGGGTACCTTATTTTGGGGTCCTTAAAATAAGGATCCTACTATTTAGGGTACTATAGTAGGGTCTCCTATTTTCGGAAACCCCCATATTACGGTCCTTGTGCCTTCATAAGTTGCCTTGAAGAGCCTACTTCGTCTACTTGTACGCTTTCAAGACCCTGTGGCAAGGCTGCTCTGGTAGCCGCAAGGCCTTTACTGGATGAAGCGGTGCTGCACCAGGAGGCGCACTTTCGAGGGTCTCATGGCCTAGGGCTTCACGTTCGGGATGAAGTTGACAAGAGGTTCCCCCGCGCATACTACCCGTGTCGTCGTGGTCCCGCACACTGCTTGAACCGCTGTTCTTCGAATTCTGCAACCTCCTACACTTAAATTCGGCATGCGTTTGAGGGCACGGATCTTGGTCAATATAGCGTTGGCTGTCTCGATCAGATCATCAGCCATGGGTATCTCGGCCTTCCATGCACAGTACACGCACTTAGTGGCTCAGCCTGCGGCCTGCATGATGAATCAATGTCCCGACTGTACTTGCCAAAAGTTGTTTTTTTGTTTTCTCATGTTCTGGTCTGACTAGCCGGTCAGGGTTGAGGGGACTACGCTTGAACATTGCATTTCTTGTTGACCTGCTTGCTTACCTGCCGACGACGACTACCCCTACGTTTACTGCTCCTGCTGCTCCTGCTCTTGCTCCTACTCCTAGACCTACTCCTACATACCAGGCAACTCAGATAGAACTGTTAGTCATAGTAATGATAACAACAACTCTGATTTCAGGAGTATAGGTAACACTGATAATGTCAGCTATCAAGAATCAGACGCGTGCTGAACAACCATAACAACAACAGCAACAATCATAAGGACCCTGACAAGAATGACAAATTATGGGAGTTTCCGAATATTAGGGGTACCTTATTTTGGGGTCCTTATAATAGGGATCCTACTATTTGGGGTACTATATTAGGGTCCCCTACTTTTGGGAACCCCCATGTAAGACTGCTTGCAGCCCCAAGCCTGGAACCTCGGATGACGAGCCGGATCTAGCTCTATAGGGGCCTCAATAATTAGCATAGGGTTTTGGGGCCCATTATAATTACTAGAATCACAATATAAGGAAGCATAGGGTTTTGGGGCCCATTATAGTA